CGGGACGTGAAAAGCAGCCCTTCGTTTGAGAAAATTTGAACCAAGGTATTGTGTCGCAATAGGTGCTGGCATAAAAAAAGATCTCTCACTGCAATGAGTGTCGCATTTAAGTATATATAAATTTTCAGCTCTCCAACAAAAAGTGGTGGTGTCACCATAAGAGTGGAAAATTATCAAAAGGGCAATAAATACTTCATATCGTAGAAACTGGGTTGCTTCAAAAAAGAATCAATCCGTTAGAGAGTAGACAGTTTAATATTTTTTTAGTAAATTGTTCCACGGTTTAGTGTTATCTGTTTCAACTCACTCTAACACATCCTACTCTGAAAAGTATGCATTTGAAATGCAGTGATAAAAAAATCAAATTGTAGATTAATACTATGTTGAGCTTTATGTTTCTTATACAGGGCTGTGGATGTCATAGCACCAAACATTAATAAGCTTCAAAAAGCAAGATTTAATATAGGATAATGAAGAAGCCCCTATTCCATGAGATGAAAATATACATTTAAAGGGGGATATGAACAACCGAAGTGAAAGTAATATTTTAGCATGTCGTATATTAATAAACAAAGTGAAAAGTTACATATTACTTTAGGGCAAATTCAGATTTCGTAGAACATTCCTTTATCTTATAATGAAACGATATTTTTCATCTATTTTCTTAATTTGAAACATTTATTTTCAAAATTCCCAAAAATGCACTGTTCAACATATTTTGTTCAAATTGGAGGATTTTTTTTTAAATCTGAAATCTAAAATCATTATGATTCTTTCTTTTTGGAAGTTTTTAACAAACTGATGATAGAAAAGAATAATTTTTGAACTAATCAAACAAATATTGCTCCTTCTGGACATGATGAGTTTTGGTAGGACTAGAATAATTAATGTGAAGATACAAATTTTCACATTTTACAGTATCATATTTATTACAAAAACACATATTTTAAGAAACTAAATATAAGATTTACATATGTAGATATAAATAATATCTTAACACCATCTTTGTTTATTGTCAAAAAAGGAAAAAAAATGAAAGCTGTATTAACAATACATGTTATGTGTAGCATTGCTCTTCATTATTTTGATCAGTCATTATTTAGTGTAATCATAAAAAACAATATACGGGGAAAACAAAGATGATTGTTGCCTTAGTGTGATTGACCTAAATAAAAATACCCCGAAAAACAGACGTTCATTTTATTTTTCATTCTATTCAAAATTGCATTTGCAGTTCATTTAAAGGCTTTTTAGAATTACGTTGTGTTCCTCACAAATGTTTCATTATTCCGAAAACAGGGAAAGAGGATTCTACTATGTAGTATTTGAATAGATCCTTTGTTGTTCTTTATCCGATTCATTTTATTACGCCTCGCTGTCTGTTCAATTTCCGTTTTCCGTTCTTGTGGAGAATAGCTGAAAACAATAGAAGCATATTAAAAGAACATTTTAATGTCTACTTTGTACGTGTATAACAATTTCATTATTGATAATAGCTGTGTACTTTTTCTTTTGAGGCATGGTTGTGAAGTTAAAACATTTTGCTTTTCATTTCATCAAAATTAAAAGAAAATGAATATATCTCCTTTTGTTTACGTATTCCGATTTAAATCCCTATATATGTATTTTCCTCAATAACCTTTCCAACCTTATGAGTCAGTATTTTAGAAATAAAATATGTATGAATATGTTTTTCTTGTTGCCCGCAAACTGTGGCAATTCAGGTGCAGATCGAAATTTTATGATAACGTTTAAAGATTAAAAATATACACAGGTAACTTAAAAAAGAACGAAATCGTCTAAGCGAGCGTTACACCGAAACGAGAAACAATCTTTAGGAAAGTGAAATTCGTCTAAATACTTATTAATTTTTAGACTTACTTATTTTTTTTGTTTTATTTTGAACGAATGAGTCAGAAAAACTACATTGTAAAGTTCTTTGGTTTCTTGAACATTTTCAAGTTCTCTAGTCCTTTAAAAAACTGTCGTCTTTTTATGGGGGGGGGGATTGAAAGGCATACATGAGCAAAGTGCTCGAAATTTCCCTTTCATCTGCTCTAGCTAATTTTTATGATTTCATAAACATGTATAAAAAAGAAGGATTTGTTTATTTTGGAGTATTTACCATGAATGATTGTTTCATCTAAAAAAAAAACGCCAATGGTTTTCCACCAAACCCCTAGTGAATATATCACACTTATTGTATTAGATAAACAAAAGCAGGCAATTTTATGCGTTTCGCAAAACAGTTAAGGCACGCGCAATGGAAATATCGACAAAATTTTGTATTCAAAAATGTTTTTATAATCAGGATGGCGCTTATTTCTCGGTACATTATTTATATCGATAACTACATATCGAGGACGATTATATTTTAGATATAGACTTGTCGCGTGATGCGGCAGTCATGTGATTTTAGCACATTTACTTGCAGTATTGATGTTACATAAACATTTCACAAGTGCAAGGGCATAACCAAGTTAAATTTCCAAGTTTAGTTTGTAAATATTTTCAACACGCACTGTAGTTTCTAAAAAGTGCTGCGATCCTATTTAAATTCTGCAATTTCAAAGGTAAAATTAAATTTGCATGACCGATTGCTGTGTTTTCTACTAGTCAACGGTATGAAATATTGATTTAATGAAATTATTTTTAAGATTTCATCAGGATCGCAGTATTTTTCATATATCTGAATAATTCTAGAGTTGAATTACTATGAAAAGCTTACTATGATCCATAGTGTGTATGCTCTTGCACTAGATCGATTTGTTAAGACCTCAACACTACCCTCCAATGTGTTTGCATCCAAATATACGCAGTGTCAGTTAAGGACATAAGCAAGGTTTCTAACCTGCTGATACTTTTTCAAGATATTCTAAATTTAAACTTATAATACCATTTTATGTTCTTAGACAAAAAATTAGCATGCCTTAGCAGGGGTTTTGAAAAGACATCAAATGATGAAGATTTTTTGCATTACTCAAAGAAAAATGTACAAAAATTACAAAACATGAATTCAAGATTTTTTTTCATCCATGTCTTTTGAGAAGAGGTGTACAAATCCATATATAGACATAAAAAGTATTTCACACAGGTTCTTCATTTAGTAGAACTCTTCAACTCCAGGGTAGAACCCAGTAAACTACGTTGCGTATGACCTTAAATACGTAATGGACAGGGAATAGATTAGTAAAATAGTGAAGAAGACATTAAATTCAACTTAATGGCCAATAAAACATCTGTGAATAATATTTTCTAATTATAGAATGCATTTTTGTTGAGAAAATATTACTTGATTTATCTCTCACAGCATACAAAATACGTCACGTTTTTTTTAAAAATGACGTCACATTGACAAGTGTATTTCGATCAGTGACTTGTTTATAACTTGTTATGTGGTATTTAACTAACGACAAAACAGCACACTGTAGTAAGTTTTTGTGTAGTTTGATGATTTCTTACTGGTTAAATTAGCAAATCAACTCATTTTGTGGTATTTCAAAGAAATGTTGTATGACGTATATCTGGTACGATATCATAGTTAAGTTTTCCCGTACAAATCAGGCTCTTCCTCCTTTTTGTAACCTTAACTGTGCTCCGTTTCTTTCTCAAAACTGAATTTTCGTTAAAGAGAATATGCATGTAATGTATAGAAATTTTATTTTCTGGTACTTTCATGGCTACCATTAAATGTGAATCAACATGTAATAGGACTTTCAAACCACTCATACAGGCGCACGTGTAGTCATGGGCATATGTCTTTCAATAAACCTTTCATACACGATGTCTTTTTTGATTCATTACTAGTTTATGTATATCAACAGTCAGGTCCACACCAAATTCGCAGCAAACTTTATTTTGTCCCTTTGAGACTTAATCTTCTTGAAAAGGTCATGGAAGGCTCATCTTCTGATTACTCGACACCAGAATAAGGGCTTTAAGCTGCAATTATGGATATTACACAGAGGCATTTTAAATCCTCAACTTTACGTTCGAAAATGCAGCTCAAACCCGTTAATGCACTGATTTTTAGACCAATTTATTATTTTGAGGTACGAGGAAAAGTTTCTTTGTACTTAAATTTTTTTTCAAAGTGCTTCTGGGATTGAAAAACACAAGCTAGAAGAAGTGGTCAAAAGTATCCTGGACTACCTTAGCGAAGTAAATTTGATTGAATGAACATGCAGAAATGAAGCTGGTAGCATTTTTTTCTTCGTAACCAATATCACGGGTTATAAATTCTCAAAGAAAAACTTGGAAAGATTAGGCAATTCCTTCTCGGAACTGATCTCTCAGTAGAGAGCACATTAAGCATATAAGTTCTCGGTGCTTCCTTCCGATTCTCGAACAAGAAAATCACCATCTTTATGAAGAAGTCTTTCAGCATCTTCTCGAGGGATACAACCATGGAACCAAGATCCACTTTCCACATCGCCTCCACGAACAAAGTCGTCATTCTGATGTAAATCAATAATTGTTTATTTTAAAATAGTTTACATATTACTGTCTTAAAAAACAATAAGTGGAATAATATAAAGAATAGATGTAGTTTTTATGGTGTTTATCAAGTAGGGGTGGTGGATGGGATGGGAGTGGAACACATAACGCGTACGGTTTCCCTAAGTCATGAAATCAAACAAGATATACACTCCAAAATTAGATTTATTCATGAACAATTCTAATGTACATGCCTAAAAATATTCATAAACACTGTTTCCTATTATGTTGCCAATTTATCGGTTAGATACTTATCTTTTTTATCCATTGATTTGAAAATCAGTTTTCCAAAATGAGATACTATGTCATCGTCCCGTAAACTTCCGATTTCAAAAGCAGGCAGATACATATCTAGTTCCTGTGATGAATCTTTCAACGCATGTTCAAATGCACTGTATTCCAAAATTGCTTTAGAATCCTTACTATTCAGTAAAATCTTTGCATTTTGAATAGCTATCGAGATGCTTTTCTTAGCAAACGCATTTTGATTTGCCTTTTGTTCATTTTCTTTTTTGTGTTGTGTTACTTGTTCTCTTAATTTGCTCCCGTAATTTCTTACAGCGTTACAAATAACATCTTCTCTGTCAAAAATTAGCTCAATTTCTTCATATTTTTCTTTACCCAAGTCTTCTGTTTGGAATTTAGGCAAGAGCACGCATTCAAGCTTTGATAGGTCATCTAGACATTTGCTTTTCTTTTCTTCAAGAAACTCCTCAAAAGCCGTGAAATCGTGTTGCTTGTGAAGACCAACAACGCATTTTGCGCAAATTGGTATTTCACAATCCCTGCAGTATATAACACAGTTGTTTTCCCCATGAGTACATACGCGTTTTTCTATTGCACTTCTAACGGAAAACTCTGTGATATTATGTTTTTTTGTTTTTGTCTGATAAATGCGTAGATGAGATATCCAAAATTATTCTGAAAATACAAATGTTACCGATTGTTTATATTCATACACAAAGATTAAAAAGATTACGCAAATATGATATTAAAGTCCCCTTTAAAAAATTGAAGAATTGGGATTTGAAACGTATTTTTCTTGTGATAAACAAGGGTTGTCGGCTTAAAACTCAAATGCACTGGTTAATTTTCCTTATTCTTTTCTTTTTATGAAAGCATACAGAGCTTTTTCAGGTCACCTTCTTTTCTGACTTTACAATAAAATGCAATTTAGTCGATCGTATCTTTGAGTTGCAAAATATTTCTGTGAAGGTGTTAAAAACTTATTTCCAGGAAAAATATTTTACTGCACTGGGTATGGACAAAAATATTTTCAAATTATTCCTTTCAATCTAAAATAAATTATTACTAGAATTGATGAACTTTACTTTTCGTTAAGGCATATTTCTATCAATAGCTGTCTTGCAATGTCTTCATACACGCACATTTTTGTTACAGAATTAGTGTCGTCTATACAGCTAAATAAGGTAATTCATGTTAAGCTGTGTTTTTTAAAAATTATTTATAAAAAATATATTCTTATGCCGATTGATAAACTGTGCATTGCCTTTACATAACCCAATATCAAAATTAATGCGAATTCATTAAAGTTGAGAGTATTTAGCAGAAAACAAGATAGGTTAGGGTATTCTATCAATAAAAAATCTACTTTGATTGTAGCATGGCCTTGAAATAGTGAAAGATTTACTTGTTCTTGATACTGTGCATATTTTATAGAGCTATTTCTGACTGTTTTATCTAGTGACCAGACCAACTTATATAAGTAGTAATGAATGTAAATTTAATTCATATAAGTAAGTTTGCTATATTATCCAAATTTCTGTCGCATTTTGCCTACAAATATCAACCGATATACTCTTATAGCAAATGTATTTAAAACAATCCTTGTAGTCTTATATATTACACAAGACCAGTTCATGTTTGTTTAAGTTTACTGATAATCTGATAACAATAACTCTTAATGACATAAATTTCTATTTAGAGTTAGATCAAGTAATTTTTTCTCATTGAAAAGTGCATAATATCATTAAACAAAATATTATTTACAAAGTTAAGGTTTTTAATACCAATGTAAAACCTTTGTTAGTACAAATATTAAGAAAATATATTGATTGAAGGTATTTAATTAATTTTACCTTGTTTTTGTATACAGGTTTGACATATTTAACATGACTTTACCAAACGAGAAATTGTATCTAAAAGTAATCTTTATACAAACCTTCTGAATGGAATTCGTCTCATTTTGATGAAGAAACAGAATTGAACTACAATAGTACTTTTTGGTTCTCACACTTATTTCGACCTGATGAAAATCTTCAGAGAAGTGGGGAACGAAACAAAAAATGTCTCTGATGATCATTTTAACATGTTTGATTTTGATAAGGATTATACAGTAACATTTCATTTATTCAATGCAGACATTATTGGTTTGACTTCGGAAGGATTTGAGACATCAATCATGTTGTTTGTATTAATAACCGGACTACTGGGTTTTGTAGGAAATGTTGTCACAATCTGCAGAGTTTTATGCTATAAAAAATTTCGCACTCCGACAATTGTTTCCATCGGGTGTCTTGCATCTCCCGATACTCTAATTATCATCTCATTGTATGTTCACAGATTTTCTACTTTGGGGAGTAAGGTTAGCCATCAACTTTACGATTACAAAAGATCTTTTGGGATTATGACTCTTTTTTCCTACGTGAAACAGTGATGAATTGTGCACTCATGGTGTACCTTGCTTTGATCAGATATTTATTAACAGTCCATCCCTTAGAGAGCAAGATACGACTTACGGCGTCAATTGTTATAGCATGCTGTGTACTGATCTGGATTTATTCCTCACTGTTTTCAGATTATCAACGAGTATTAAAGATTTATCTGATACTATTAAAAGCATGCAGCTTACATTCATGAATATTCGAGTTCTTTGTGGCTTGTTTTCTATCTGTGTCATCATTATTTTACATATCACAAAGATGAAAACTCTTAGAAAACTCTTCTGTTTCAAACAGTATTCATAAAAGAATGAATGTTATAATTTCCATTAAATTATTAGTTTTTGTTTCCTATCAAATCTCATTCATATTTTTTTATAATGCTATATTGTATTTCATGTTTTCGTGGAGTTCTCTTCCCTCGATAATTCATGCATACATATACAATGTTGTTATACTCTGTGGAGTCTTAAACTCCTCTTGTAATCCTTATATACTTTTTTGGCTTTACAGATCATATCATAAAAAAAGTAATCAAAATTTTAAAATAAATAAACAGTTGAATTAATCAGTTTACATTGTATTTTGATCTTATTGCCAATTTTTATTTCAAATTAATCATCTACTAATTATGCAATGGATTCAACAGCATAATTTTACACACTGAATGTGGATACCTTACACATAGGAACATTATGTGAAGCGACACTGTGACGTACAAAAGGGAAAAAGGGGAAATTGACAATTGTAGAATTTTTGCATGACCCTTGTCACTTTTGTTCGATTCCTAAAAGTATTCGGTTTCAGAAAATTTGAGGTTTCAGATCCTATAAATTCTATTTTTAAGGAGAAAAATAAAAGTAGAAATTTTGTACACTGAAAGTAGACATCTTACGCCCCTACACGAAGGAGCATTACTCAAAGTAATTCTAGAAACATTGAAATAGAACTTCTTGTTTCTAAACAATAAATTACCGTGTACTTAAGTATTTTTCAATACCTAGTGTTGCATAAACAAATCATACTTCTGCATTTAATGACATGTAAATGTATTTTAATAAATATTGCATATAATTTATGTTAGATGATATGAAATAACTTTGGGTAGTTTACGCTTTATAAACCGCGAATTAAAAATGAGTAAAAATACTCTGCGTTCCCTATAATTTATTTTCAGTGTAAACAATATGATTTTTTCCTCTAAAAATGGCCTCAAACTGAACATATTTTAAAAGTAACTTCAAGCGGATATAAATATCAAGAAGAAATGAATTTCCTATTGTTTTTTTTTTTTTTTGTTCTAGTATTTATAACAACGTACTAGTACAGATAATGAAGAATTCTTATGTAATTGTCATGCATATCTGAAACAAATGAATTGTCTTCGCTATCAATGGTCACACTGCAAGGTTTCTTCATCCCATCATAGGCAAAGTACCTAAGGAAGCTACCATCCTTGTCCAAATTATGAATTTGAACAACAGCCGCTTTGATAATGTGGAAGCAATATTGAATCACAACATTGATCAATTGATGGAGGGCCAGAAAGCTCCGAAGAGTAAGAAAAGCGATATTTTCCCAGTTATTTAACAGCGGGCTATTCGGCATTTATTTTTATTTATTTATTATTCATTTATTTATTTATTACCTGAAAACAAAAAACAGAAGAGGAAGAAAAGGACGTTGAATTGATTTTAATGTATCGAATGGTGTACAAGTAAAACTGACGAAAGCATCTAAACAAGATACCTTTCAAACTCATGCGTTATATAGTTCTGAATTATATATGTTATTATTTATTTATGTCTTTTTGTTCTTGACAAACACTGAATTATGATATCTTTACATAAATTTATTGTACAAGTAATATACTTAGATTTTATTTCAAGTAGTTACACATTGAAAGTTCGTTATATATATTTACCGGACATTTTCTAAAAAAAAAATTATCAGATCTGCTTTACACTTAGAAATAAGGTGCGAGTACGATTTTAATAATAATGAAAAAAAACAAAATGACAAAATAGTCATTCTTCTTCCGGTGAGAACATATTAATCTAGCCCCTACCTCATAGGCTATAATAGTTTTTAATTGTCTAGAGGAGGTAACGCTGAATTTAAAACATCTTAAGCATTTAGAAATTAGTCTCCCATTTCAAATTTTAATTTCAATTCTAATTATGCATTAAAAAAGGCTTTACGTATATAACAATTTGGGAATAAATTTTGTTTCTATCCTGCGAAGTATAAAAACGTCTCCTTCTTTAAATACATATATCTGCTCTTTTAAATACATATATCTGCTCTTGATTGCACAATAAAGTATTCAAAGATTTTATATTTAATAGTTTCTTAATTAATCGATTTTTCTTCACTGTCTATTTTAGATAGAACTTATGAGTATTTAATTTGAAAGCAGGTCGATTGCACGGAAAATTCCCCATAGTAAAAAGTTTAAAATGGCGGTGGCTACTAATCCCAGCGGGCAAAATTTTGTTACGTGTCAGCTGTGTGAAGACAATGTTCAGTTCTACTGCAGACTATGCAAAATAAGACTTTGTGTAAAATTTGTGTCTTCTCATCTGGAAACTAATGCACCAGACCATAATATTGTGTATTATCACAAACGATTTTGGACGACAACCAGATTCCTTCAGGATCCACACTTAGTGAAGACCATACCTTGTGCTTGTATCGCGAAGCTCTGCATTAGGTACACCAGTGATAGACAGATTTTCGTAATATCGCACGGTTCGTCCGATATAAAAATTGTAAATACAGACGGAACTTTAGTCAGAACGTTTTCTCCGGAAAGATTACTTCCCAATTTGACCCCTTATAAAGACGGTGCGTTGTATACAGACAAAGAAGGAATAAGAAAAATTAACAGTAAAGATGATAAACTATTTATATCAATTCATGGGGAATTGAGAGGAATTGAATTCATTGAACCTAATTTCATATTTGTATGCAACTTTTCCAAGGTTGAAAAATATACAACTGAAGGTAAAAGACTTTTGAAAATTGAGTACGACGACAAAGGAGATCATATTTATAAAAATCCTACAAAAATATCTATAAATGGATTGAAAAATATACAACTGAAGGTAAAAGACTTTTGAAAATTGAGTACGACGACAAAGGAGATCATATTTATAAAAATCCTACAAAAATATCTATAAATGGAAACGGGGACATCTGTGTGGCTGAATATACGAGAACCGATGTCCTTATCCCTTCGGTTACAGTCGTAGATAATTGTGGAAAATACCGTTTCTCTTACGGTCTAAAGCCTAAAACTGATTACTCCTGCATAATGAATCTCTGCTGTGACTCCTGTTTTCACATCATTATAGTCTGTGATAAAATACAAGTGATAGACAAAGATGGTAACTTTCTCAGATTTCTGGGGTATGATGGGATAAAAAATCCTTTGAGTGTGACCATTGATAATGATGACAATTTATACGTTTCTGAATTGTTTGACAAATACGTAAGAGTTTTAAAATATCTGTACTAATTAATTCTAAGCAGTGCTCCAACATTATTCAACGTAATATTTGAACATTCTTGTTATTGCGCTCATTAAGTGTTTCAAAAATGATATTTTTTTCTTTAATCATTCAGATATATATATTCATTCACCCCCGTCCTATATATATGTGTTCAGTATTTGCAAGTTTTTAACTTAAACTTCCCTTTGAAAAGAGAAAAAGTCCTTCGACAATTTTGACATCCCCAGGGTTGATAAATTATTTTAAATGAAGGAATCAGTCTTCAGTGGTATTCTATAATTATAACAGTTGAGTTAATCAAATGTGAATACTTAAAAATCCAGAGAATTTTTTTAAGAAATCTAAAATCACAAAATTATTCCAAAATCAATAGCATCTAAACCTATGACTTTTCAACACTTTATTTACAGAACCTTTAATTTGATATCAGCAAACTTATCTCGTTAAGACCCACATACTGAATCTGGCAACATACAAGTACTCAGAGGTTGATCTTTAAACATGGTAGAGAATGCTTTAGTTTATCATTGACAGTGTTTATTTAGTTTTCGCAGTCCTGGCCCCAAGACTATAAAATGAAGATAGATTAAAGTCAAAATTTCCAACCAATAAACATTTTGAAATAATTTCGACAGGGAAACATTTATTTTATCTCAAGCATAGTCTTCTTTATATAGCTCTCCTCATGTATACCCAGCAGAGTATTCAGAGGATTTTATGGAAAATAGCAGCCGGTTTTATCTTTTTACTTAAGTAAAAGTAAAAGACTTTGATAGTATTCAATTTAATGCATGTCGATTGCATGGAAACTTACATTATGTATGAAGTTAAAATGGCAGTGGCTCCTGATCCAATATTTATTTTAATATGATTCATGCTTTATACGATCCTCGAGCCTTCGATACTTAGCAGATATAATATGTTGTGGATTTTGGAATAATATATTTTCCATGTATAATTTCACTTTTCTCGAATTATATTATCGTTCCTAGATCAAAACATTTTCTGTTAAAAGCACTTTCCCTCCTGTATTAGCCAAAGGATGACTGCACTTAACGCCGGTTTTTGGGTCTTTTTCAATCTCTGTTGTTACATTTATTTTTGTTTTTATTTTTGTCTCAAGTCATTAATTATAGAGGTTGGTCTATTTCCAAATAAATTGCAATGTCATAAAGGTTAGAAACTGCGTTGCAATGAAATAATTCGATGTTTCCTTACCCCACCTCTCTGCAAATATCGGGAAATTAGACTTATCTGCCCTTGATTGAAGATAAGATTTATAAATATGCATAAGAGGTGGAGCTAATATTGTGATGAGCTAGTGGTCTAAAATTAGAATAGCTAAAGTATTTATATTTGGTGCATTCTCTCTCTCTCTCTCTCGTCATATGTTTGTCACTATTACTTTTTAAGTTTTCAAATAAAGTATATATAACTAATAACAAATAACATCGACCGGTAGAAGTAGTCATTCTCATTGATAATCAACAGCAATGGCTGATGTCAACAATTTGCGTGTTCGAAAATGAGTGCCGACCAGCTTAGTCGGTAATGCACAGAATCAATAATACTTAGGTCCGGGATCGAGACCCGCTAACAGCAGTAAGACTGAATTTCTTTTCTCCCTTTTTTAAAAAAGAAAGAAAAACACCACAATTACTCAAGTTTTTTTAGTTTCTTTTATACTTTTCCCTATAAATTAGCGTACTGAGGATGGTATGAATTCAATTTTAATTATTAACTTGATCTTACTTTGGATGTTCATGTTAAGCAATGGTTCAAAACATAATGAATAAATCTCTTTTTTCTTGTAGACTACGAACATGTAGAGACATGCATTCAAAAATATATAAGGATAGTAAAATGAAACGCTTATGAGATAAATATAAGAATAATCTTATAGATATCTAAGAGAAAGAAGAATAGCCCGTGGCTCGATGGGAATGAATTGAAACAGATATGAACAATCACTATCGGCAAGCAGAATGCGTGTTCCCTTATATGTCACGTGATGGAATTTTAGTATTCACAGAGTTACCTGGGTATAGAAATCACGTGGTTAATTATAATATTCAACAGGTAACAACGTGGTCAAAATGGCCTGTATACTATAGAGAAAGTGAACACAGAAGAAACAGTTTTTTCTCTTTTTAACCATCAGCGCATGTTTGTATATTGACCTCCTTTTAATATGAGGTAATATATATGAATATACAACTACCATAAAAAGGAGACCAATAGACAAACATGCGCTGACTATGTATTAAGCCTGTAAAAAGATGGGCGTACTCATTATGCTATGGAGATTCCAGAATATGCGATGACCCCTCCCTATAAAAACGACTTCGAACTTCGTTGATACGAACTTTTAATTAACGTAATTACACAGTTGCAGTTAAGACATTGACCATTTGTACCATTGAAAGAGAAATGCCCATTTTAAAAATTAATAATGTCGCAATTTCTAAGTTTCCTTAAGTGCAGTCATCCTTTAACAAAAAATCAAAATTTTCAAAGGTAGATATTGTCTAGATTAGGAAAAGTTTTCCATTAATTGACGATCTTGCGTCTGAAACAAAAATTTTTTTTTATATATTTAGAGGAAATACAGACACAGAATTAAAAAAACATTCACGAAAGTAGGGAATTGTTCCGAGAAGAAGGTATGGTTTTAGCTTTATCGTGCCCTAAAAATTCAATGTTTTCAAAAAAAGTTTAAACTAGCTTGAATATTAATCGAGGTTATGACTGCGATAGATCAGAAAAGAGTTCAATTCTAGAAATATGACGTCGTAAATTTGATGCATTTCTCTATTTTAAACAGGAAAAATTCTCAAAATGTTCCATTCAAGAGTAATTTTCCTTCAGAAAATAGTGTCCACAGCCGTCACCCACTTAAGTTATGTGATGAAAAATTTAATTTAAAAAAATCACATATCTTAAAACCATTGTGAGCGATGCCTGTGGACAATATTATCTGAAAGAAAATTCCGTTTAAATTTGGTGTCTTCTGCTATTTTTAAAGAAAATACCGGAAAATGCACATGTTTCTGACGTCATTATTAGCATTTATAAATGCATGTGAAAAAAATAATTTGTATGATTTTTCTGCACTGAAGTTCAATGATTCAGAAAGCATGAGTTTTCGTCTTTTACTTCAGTTTATTTCTCTAAGAAAATCACAGGGCAAGATTTGTATTGAAACCATACCTTGTTCTTTATAATAGTAAAGTTTACGGGGTAGATTTTCCCTAAAGAAAATTAACAGTTTATACTAGTATATAATTATGAAGAAATTTTTGCGGAAATTCAATTTTTACCGTTTTGTTGTTGGAATAACTAAAAGCTCAAATATTACTAACATCTTATTACCATTAAATAACATTATTGTAACCTTTCCATGCAACACGAAGTTTCCAGAATTACTGTTTACTAAAACTGATTTTGAAGGACAAATTGCTAAGTTGAAGTATCGTTAAAAATACCCACTTATATATATATACGGTATGTTACGGTTTATATTCACATCGTAAACAAACTGAAACTCTCTCTCTCTCTCTCTCTCTCTCTCTCTCTCTCTCTCTCTCTCTCTCTCTCTCTCTCTCTCTCTCTCTCTCTCTCTCTCTCTCTCTCTCTCTCTCTCTCTCTCTCTCTCTCTCTCTCTCTCTCTCTCTCTCTCTCTCTCTCTCTCTCTCTCTCTCTCTCTCTCTCTCTCTCTCTCTCTCTCTCTCTCTCTCTCTCTCTCTCTCTCTCTCTCTCTCTCTCTCTCTCTCTCTCTCTCTCTCTCTCTCTCTCTCTCTCTCTCTCTCTCTCTCTCTCTCTCTCTCTCTCTCTCTCTCTCTCTCTCTCTCTCTCTCTCTCTCTCTCTCTCTCTCTCTCTCTCTCTCTCTCTCTCTCTCTCTCTCTCTCTCTCTAAAAGAAACATTTGACAGTAAAATGTTAAGTACTTAATGGCCACCCTATGTTTTGAAAAAGTGAGTGAGAACGACAGCGTGTAAGAATATGTAAACTTTTTTTTTAAATCAAAGATTGTATTTATCCTCGTTTGTCTGAAATTCAAGCAGACAACTACACTTGAATCCACTGTTTTATTACTCTCAAAAGATTTTTACATTTACATGCACTTGACAAAAAACAGCAAAGGTCTGAACAGAACAAAGAATTACAAGAGGACAAATATAACCTTAAATCCCTTTGTCTTCAATATTAGTGGTCCTGTTGTTTAAATTATTATTAGTGAGGACAGTTCTATAGGGCGAGAGTAGAAAGTAACTTTTTTCAAAAAAATTGAAAAGTTTTTGAGAGGAAGGGACTAGAATAAGGAATACACTACATTAAATTTCTTCATGACAGTGCCAAAAACCCTCACTCCATGATTAGCAAAGAGTTTTGGGGACAAACTGAGAGATAATATTTTGTCACACAAAATATTTGCCAGATCTGTCATCTTTTGACTTGATTCATTTTCAAACTTTGCAAAGACACCTTTTGAAAAGAAGAAACAAGTCCAGAAAATCATATGATGTGCCATAATGCAGTATACGAGGGGCCATATTCAAAAATGAGTTTAAATATTCAAAAATTGGATACAAATGTTACTGACATCTCTTAAAACTCATTAAATTCAAAAGGAACATCTAAGTTAAATCATGAAGGCTTAATCATTGAAAAGCGTATTTTGCTTTGTCTTTAAAACCGAGGACATTATTCAATGAACCGCCCTCTTATTATAATATTATTAGAGTATTTTTATGGGATTTTGTTCAGTAAAAATCACCGGTAATCTAAAGAAGATTGAGTTTTAAAAGAAGAGCTGTAAATTGTTGTTGAAATATTTAATATTAATATGTTCTCTCTCCATGTATTGCTATAGTGAATTTTTTGACCCAGAGCGAAGCATTTTCTGTATAAACTCATATGTACAATACACAGGACTTTTTGAAATATTAATCTTTAAGGCTATTTTTGTGAAAAGTCGTCAGAGAATGTATTCTCTGTATTCTTAATTTATTTCTTCAACAAATCAAATTATAAGAAATTTGTAAGATAATTTCAGTGTACTTTTTTCTGAGGAAATTATAAAAAATCTTGATTTCTTTTGTAAAAATCACAAGCATCAACACTTTTAAAAGTATGTCTTTATTTCTACATTTTTTTTTAGATCTTTATAGTTATTGTGTCATAGACCTCTATAATTAGAGGTCAAGTCCATGCTTTAGTATTGCATGATTTCTATCATTTCCCTCTTTTTTTAATTTGATATAAAGTAAACATTTTATTCATTTCCCCCTTCCCTCTCCTTTTCCTTGTCCTTTTATAAATCGGGTAATTTTATCTTATCTATGTTTCCTTAGCAATAATTTATTTTAAAAAAGTATTACCTAAAATTGTGCAATTTTTGCAACTTAATCTTTCTTTTTATATTGATATTGGTATATATACAAACATTCCTGGCTAACTGTTGATATAAACTTCAATTACTTCAAACATATTGAATTCATTTTATTCTTAACACATCCCTCGATCGTATTACGGATTACATAAATTTGAGACCGTGTCCATAATCAAAAGTCCGAAGAAACAACAATGGCGGCACATGAAGGAGATGCTAACCCAAGGTGGGTTTATGAAATTAAGTTTTGTCATTTCTAGAGTTTTACAATATTTCTTTAATATCGATTATAGTCCATTCCATGACAAAAATACCTAATTTGTGTTTGTGTAAAAGTCGTTTAGAATTTATCATACGCATTAATTAAAAATACAGAAGGAGAAAAAAAACATGTCCTAAGAAATTGAAATATTTCTGATATAAATCATAATTACCTAAGAAGAAAAGCTTCAAATGATTCTCAGATTCCTATCTGTTGATTTTTTTTTTATTTCAGAATAAACGCTGATATATCATATGATGAATTTTTTATGGGAGTTGCTTGTTTGTCAGCAAAAAGGAGTAAGGATCAACAGCGGAAAGTAGGCTTTTATCAAATGACCAGTACTCTTCATATGTCCACGTTTTTTATTAAAAGCATCTAATATACATTTTGTCTGAATTTCTCAGCAGTATTAATTGTGGTCAATCCATCAATGTAGTGACAAAGGGACAATGACAATGTAGTGATATTTAAAAAACATATCAATCGAGACAAGTGCAAAGGTTAATATGTTTTTAATAAGTTATTAATTGACAAAGGGGCATAAATTCGAAATCAACTAACAATTGCTTCTGTTCTTTATATTATAATGCACATTTTATCATATTTCTCCATGATATATCGGATCACACATCAGATCATGATGTGTTTTAAGGTCTTTGGTTTTCTTTGATACTAAGTTGCATTCTTCCAATGGAGAAAATGATTTAAGTATTAGATGGTTATGTTGATTTTTCTGCAATACATATTTACTGTCTTTGTAATTTTGTTTTAAGAATTTCACTTGCAATCATTAATTAAATCAATTTATTAACGGTGAAATATATTTGATTTCCATAAATAACTTATTTGAATTCCCGTGGTTTTCAATTGCGCACCGTTATAATCAGACATTTTTTTATTCATATATTTGAAGCAGAATTTGTTCAAAATCTTTTATGTAAAAGGAAGAAAACTTTTGCTGGTCCCTTCGACTCGATATTTAAATGTATCGACATTTAGATATTTTCAATTGACAATAGGTATTTTCATTCTTATGTCGACAGGATATGTTCTAGTGAAATTGCAATAGAGGATAAAACAGTGTCTTTGATCATTTTCAAGAAAAAGACGTTAATGATTACATAGAGGCAAAGCTTTATGATTAACCCAAAGACTTAAACTTCAATCGTCAACTTCCCTACTTATGCAGCAATAAAAATTCATCACATGCATACAGAGTTTTTATCTTTCAGTAAATTCGATACTGAAGAGCACGATCTAAGTACAAAAAATTTTCTATAAAAAAAAACAAAATTATTGACAAACAAGCTCATGAACAAAATGTCAACAGTCTCGTTTAAAGTTATCGTTTCGTAAGTTCTATGTTCGATACATATATATTTTCTGCAAATTCAGTTTGTAATTAATTTAAATGCTAACTGAGGTTTTTTTCTTACTGATTGTATGCCATTATATATAAACACTAAGTTGTCAAAAAAAAAATTGTTATTTCCCAATCATGTTAAGGAGCACACGGCAGGAGTGACTGTTCGAAATGAGATGCTCACTTGTCTATGGACCTGATTTCACATCTGTTGTCGTGGAGGTCCGTGTTTACTCTGTTCCTATTTTGTAATGTTTTAAGGACTTTTGGGCTTAAATACTCTTCGTTATCTCCACATTTTTTATTGAATTGATACACTTATCTAAATATCTCAATCATCAGTTCAGCTATAAACGCATGCTTCTCCTTTGATTTCAATAATTTTCTAACGTTAAATATGTTTCTTTCAGGTTGGCGCATGCATCGTCAATGAGGATAAAAGAATAGTTTCGACTGGGTACAATGGGTTTACTGACAGAATTAGGAATAATGACGAAGCATTCAGCTGGTCCGAAGATAAGAAAAATCTTTATGGTAGATATTTTAATACTTATTAAGCATACAGTAATTTATTTCGCATTGATACAATGCACCCGTTCTTATTTTGCTCCAAGTGAAAATTCCTTGAATTGTTTTCAGTCTGTCATGCTGAAATGAATGCTGTCGCCAATAGACATGGAACCAGTTTAAAGAATTGTACTCTTTACGTTACTCTTTTCCCTTGTAACGAATGTACCAAACTGCTGTTACAGTCAGGGATCAAAAGGATAATTTATTATGCCGATGACAAGCTTCAGGCTGAAAAAGAAAAATACGGACAACGCACGGATAGGGTGGAAATAGAAGGAAAATACTTGGCGTCGGAAAATATGCTGAAAGAATCAGGGGTTGAAATTCTGTACGTAAGCATATCCTTGAAAATAAAGTGGTGCAATATCTCTCTTAATGTAAAAACAGATTGACAAATTAACTCCCTGCAAATTCATCCGAGACTTAGAAACAATATTATGCCTTTCATATTAGTTCATTTGTTTGTATATAAATAGGACTGGGTGATAGATAAACTTACAGTAAGCTAGTTCAAAATGTAAAACAATAAATAGGTGAAAAGATGGACAAAATATTTTCACTGAAATAAAGTTAATCCGGTGGAAGGATAACGATCTTTGAAATTAATTTAATATAAAATTTTACGAAAGATGTGAAATATTTGCAACTAGTTAACCTTGTCAAAAGTTAAATGCTTGATACTTTATTCCCTGAAAGAAAGGATACATTGCAGATAGGACGATATTTATTTGGTATACTACCTATGCTGTAATAATATATTTTTTTTGAAAAGATAATGCTAAGATATATAAAAGTTGGATTAAAACTTCAAATTTAGTTAGCATGTTTTCATAGATGCACGATACTAAAAATATCCCATTTGTAGCGAACTGCTAGCTCAAATGGGTGTTCAATTTCCACAATTTGTTTTTATACTTTCATTTTTAAATTTTAGTTTTCATTTCTTTTTTTAATGTTAACGAATTTTAGGGAGACAAAGCCTTATTTCTTAAGCAAAAAAATAATTATAGCAATGTTTTATGTCATGCAAAATTACCAGGATACAGAGTGAACTTTTAGTAAAATTCAACATAAGCTATTTCAAAAACCTCATTAAAATGAAAACCCACCCGATAAATTATTACATATTCATAGTTTGTCATTATTTGTATTATACGAGAATGCAAATAATAGAATATGTTATTATCCCGGTTTCTTCGCTTGAAATGCATTGGAGGATTAGCATTCTCTCTCTCTCTCTCTCTCTCTCTCTCTCTCTCTCTCTCTCTCTCTCTCTCTCTCTCTCTCTCTCTCTCTCTCTCTCTCTCTCTCTCTCTCTCTCTATATATATATATATATATATATATATATATATATACCTTTACAGTTTTGTAAAAACTGTCGTGAATTTATTCACGATTTTATTTTGTATATTGCAGACACTATGAGGAACTGAAAGGGACAGACGGAAAACCACTGAATCCAGCGAAAAAAATCATGCTTAATTTTGACGAGATTGCTTCTCAAAAATAATCTTATTTGAAAATTGTTGTACTGCTGACAAGAATTACAATTTAGAACTTACTATTCAAATTGTGCTTTTCTTTAGGGCTTAAGTAGTTAATATTTAACATATTTATTTTTATTTTTATTTTCAAACGTTAATACAATGTTGTGTACATTTAATTTGAATATTACTACTTTTTCCCCTTTTTCCAATACCTCTTTTGGGAAGAATGACTTAATTTATTTCTGTTTCATTTTGTTATTTAAACTTAATGTTATAAAATAATCCGAAATAGTTTGGAGTGAAATGCAATTAAATATAGCTTAAAAGGAAGGTGAATCTGGAAACCCATGTGTTTAATTTCAGACTGCCAGCATCCAGTTTAGATATCAGTATATTATCAAAATGTGAATATTCGTAGTTTTTATATTTTACTTATTTGTTTTTTCATATATCAAAACTTCTCTTAAACGTCATAGAATACAGGAGTGAAATCGTAGCTCATGCAACATTCTTCCTCACTTTCGTCGTGTTTAATGTACTGATACTTACTTATGCACTGTATAATATCATTCCACAGGAGAAAGAAAGTCTTGTAGCAGAGGCAGATTTGTCAAAAAAATAAAAAATAAATCTATTGATTTCTACAAAAGAACAATTAATCACTGCTTACATAATGAACCTTTTTTTCAAATATTGAAATCGACAACGTCCAACAAAATCAATCGAGCACGGAATAGAACTTACCAAACACAAAGCGCCACCTATCGATCAGTGTGTATAATCCTGTGAGTACCTACCAACCTTCTGTGTCTAGACCCTCAGGTTGTTATGCGCCACCAAATCCTGTGCCATAAATGCTTATTCCATCAAATTCACCAATACCATTGTTAAGTCCTCCAAAGCCTGCGCCTAGGGTGATTTATCCCTCAGTCATAGCAGACTTTTCCAAATGTCTGTTACGGAAAGATTTCCTCCTCGTCAGATTCACAACCGTTAACGTTAATGATCGGTCTGAGAGTTTCAACTTTTGTAAGCCTCTTTCCGCAGCATTATACCAATACGTAGAATTACACCATTTGAGGAAATGAATTTAGTCGTAAATTGGCTGTGTTTCAAATCATGAAAGATTGTACATAAACTATACGCTCCCCAAACACCTACGATCCAAGTCTAGGATGAAAATATATTTGGGATAGGCTACATTATAGGTATAAGAGACAGGAGATGGTGGAACCATGAACTGAATGGTTTCAATCCTCACTAACAGAGATCATGCCATATTATATTAAAGATGTTTTAACAAATACAAATACTTACTTTGTTTCACCTTGTTGTCTATACTATCCCGAATAACTTGGAAAATATATAACTTGTTACATCTGACAGCTGCTTTTCATTTAAAATTGAACTCTTGAATTGCCTTTCCATTGCATTGCTGAGTGGATACAAAACTTTCTGATTGTACACACATGCTATTTGAGATCAGGTCCTCCAACATTTAACTAAAATCCCTTGAGTATCAAATAGGCCAGGTTTGAAAAGAGATGTAGTTTTGGATCCATTTGAAGCAGAATTTGTTAAAACTCAGATACGAAAAAAGGGAAGAAAACCCCTTTCGGTGGCCTTCAACACTCGGAGTTTAGAAATATCCACGTAATGTCATTTAACAATAATTATTTCGACTCTTTTATATATGACATTTCCCAGTGAGCTTAAGATTAAAGATATCACGGAGTCTGACCTATTTATTTTTCGACTTCCTAGCAGCATTAGAACTTCATCATCTGTATAAGGGTTTTATATCTAGAAGTTGATTTGTTACTGACGAATTTGATCTATGTATATTCATGAACAGTCTTCAAAATGACGTTTAAAAAAACAAGTTTATGTAAAAGAAACATCAGCTGTATCTTTATCAAGTCATAATTTCGTAATTTATATTGTCGATATACTTTCAGCAGATACAATCTATCATTAAATCGAATGCTAACCGACGTTTTCATTCTAATTGTTTGATGAGGTTAAAATCAACAGTTTTATTTTCGATGGATTTTCCATTATATTAAGAGTATGACGCAGAACACTCGTCGGGTCACGTTTATCGGCAGAGGATTCTCCCTCCTTGAATCTGGCAACTGAATGATACGTTGATGCTACAGGAATGTCAACAACTTCGTATAAAATCAACATTTCGTTTTTTAAGTTGTTTGTTTGTGTATTGACCCTTCGAGAGTTTTCAGTTGCACATAGAGGCAATATGTAGTGTGAAAACTGCAAATTGAAGACCTGTTTTCGTAACTTTCAGTTTTTGTCCATTGAGATATCCTTTTTCTGCCCTCACCTATAGCTACTGAAATACTTGACTTCAATTTGAACACTCTCGTTCGAAGGACTTAGTTACACATTCCTCATCGGGAGTTGAACCAGGGGCGTAAGAAACTTAATCCGCGGCCCTAAATAAGAATCTCTTACTGCGACAGTAAATGGGCGACAAATTCATGGCTAAAGTTGAATAACGTTAATAAATGAGTTACCTCACTTCGAACGGGAAGATTTTTATTGTTCTTAAAAAGGTATCTTTTATTATTGCTCATATATTTTTTCTATGCTTAAGATATTAAGAGAGATAAATTAAGTACTGTATTAGAAACTAAACTAATATTATTAGCTATATAAAATTTACTTTATATACTGTAATTTTTTACTATGTCCAAAAAAATAAAATTGAAATTTCTCTGGTCTAAATTTGAAGTTTTAGTTTTCTTGATCACATATGATATAATATCTCGTACAATTCCAATATTCCAATAAAGGTTATTAAAAACAATATTTTTTTATATAATCTGTGTTTCTTTATTTTTTAAAGTAATTTTAATAATAATATATAAGTGTATTATAATTGAAATCATTTTTTAACAAACAGCAATTCATATTTTAAATGTTTTCTTAACAACGTTCAGAATACATAAATATATATTTTTTTTAAATTGAATATTATTTTTATTTTGAATCAAGTTCATTGAATACTTTTTTTTTCTTAAAATGAAAAAAATAACTTGATAAGATGTGTAAAATCAATATTGTTCAATAAGGACGCTCTTTCAAACAAAACTGGCAGTTTTATCATGCAACAATAAATCTTCCGTCAGCCATGTTTTCTTGTATTGCACAATGATCAAAAAGCATTGACGGGTACCTGATGAAAAAGATGTAAATGATGATGAATGTGTCAGTATGGTTCTCTTTGATGACACTTATTATTATAAAAAATGTTTCTTTATCACAACAGAAATTTACAGATCACTATATTGTTTCTGTGAAGGGAGAAAGGTATGATGCACTTAGACTGGCTAATAAACATGGCTTCCACCTGTTGTATGAGGTAAGAGAGTTTTTTTTATTCATTTAAACTTTTTATATGAAATGAAAGTGAAAAAACCATGTCTGTAATTTAAAAAAAAACATTTGCATGCATTTCAATAGTTTCTTTCACGTGATTCCATAAATTTGCTCAGTGCTTACAGTTTTGTATAAATATATCTTCACATTAAAGTATCAACCAAAATATTTTTTCCCTAATTAATATGAGAGTCTTGTAGAAATTTATATCATGTTGTTTTTTTTTAGTTTGGTAATATACATGTATTTCTGGGCTTTTGCAAAAATGTATTAATTTTTTTTTTCAATATACAAAGTTAATGCAACCACACGTTTTTTTCTGTGTGTGGGGAGTGATTGAATCCCATGTTATTATTTGTTTTACAGCAATTTTACCTTTTGATAATAGCATACATGCACCTCAATACATTGAAAAACACATTTTCAAAGGATTAGGATTTCTGCAAAAACTTTACAGAAAGTTATTATATTTATACTTGTTCCCTCCAAAATTTTTCCAAGATAAATGCATGATTTTAAGCCATGTCTGAAATTATTATCCTTGATAATATATAAACGAGAAAACACTGATGTAACCATAAATTGCCGGAAATATATAAAGTAAATAATGGAAATGAGTCTTGATCATCAAACCACTTCAATATGTATGGAAAGGCATGCGACTTATTGATGGAGACGACAGTCGCAAATATTTTGAAAACTTATAGTCGGATAAATGTCAAACAAAAACGATATCATTTTAAACTTCATGTCTTCGAGCTGCATAAAATATAAATTGAAGTTATACATATGCATCACCTATATTCAAAAATGTACTTAATTATCAATTTTAGAATATGAAACACGAACCGTGCAGAGTACGTTTTTACGCGAAAAGTAAATTTGATGGTCTAAAAAAAGGGACCTATCGTGTTTTGATAGTAAATGATAAGCAACTTTATATATCAAATATGAAAAAAACATATATATTTTTAAAGATTCACCGAATGAAAGTAAATATACTATGTATCTCGTAATTCATAAAGGGAAAGAACATTCTGATTAGCAATCTTTACAATGTTTAGAAAACTTTTATTCTGAATAACTACTCCCACCCCAATTCCCATACACCAAGACTTAAACTTATATGCATAGAGCAGCCCTGTCCTCCGGGCTGAAATAAAGAAAAAAAAATTGTTTTGAAATTCTTTGATTAAATCTCTTATCTATGTGAATCGTTAATCTGTGCTCGCTCCTCCATGGACCTGACCCCACCTCTAATGTTTCAGAGGTCCGTGTTTGCTCTGCTCTGATATTGTATATTGTTTAATGGACTTTGAGATTGAATACTGTTCATTTTCTCCATGCCCTTCCTTACATAGGTTTTAAATATCATATTCCTTAAAATTATAATCTTTAATATTTTATCGGAATTTTTCTCCATTTAAATCTTTTGAATGGACTCATTATAGGTCTTTCCAAATACTTATGTATTCAAGAGAAAGAATGAAACAACCAACGCATATGTTCGCAGGGGATCTATTTCTCTTATGCTGAGAGAATCCAGGGTAAATGAGAAGATTGATTAGTTATATTTCGCTTGAAATATATCCATTTAACAGACAATCCCCTAATCACTAAATCA